TTCCATAAACATTCACACAGAACCTTACCAAGGGTAACAGTATTCTGGTTTATATTCGTGCTTCACTGATAGCCTTTACTCATCCCTGCATTGTTTTCTGTTTTCACAAGGAGAAAACAAAACACTTCCCTGTAAAGTAAGGAAAGACCATTTTATGGCTAAGAATCCAAGAAACAAGGCAAGGAGGAGATCATGGAGTGAAAAATGTTACTTGACTTCCCCCTTGTAGCTAGCTTTGTAGGATCTTAGCCATAATGCTTCATAAAAATCTGAACTGACCCATACAGTCTTCAACCAATTAATCTTTTTAGTATAGTAGGTTTTGAAAAGGGCCAGCAATATTCATTGGGAACAGTACCATTAACATTGCATTCAAAAAAAGAAAACATTGGAAACCATATCCTTGCCCTCCTACTCTGATGATATGCTCTAGTATTAGCCAATGTATGGTAATACAAAAAGAGCCTTGTTGTGATGTAAAAGGCAATGAAGACATCTATAGAATAATGTTCATGTGCAGCCAAAATGAAGAAGATTCCAAAGAGATTCAGGACCCAGGACAAGGTGTGCAAGAAGTTCCAGCTCCTTGGTGTATCTGGAAGAAAACAGAAAGTGCTTAACCTTGACTGTCTCAAAATGCAGGCCTAGACATTCCAAGTTTGTATACAGATTTTTCATCCAAAATGAGATTAAATTACTCTCTTCATTCAAAACTTTTGTATACAGGTCCAATAAATCCAACAAAAGCACCACGTAAGTTATAGATCTCTATCAATTCATTACTTCATTTACAAATGCTTTTCTGGATTAACAAGAGCATCCTTAAATGGTTTAGCACCCTGCAAATCAGAATTCTTAGTTCAACCAATTTATTTTAATCAAAATCACGTCTTTTCTATGTTACAAGGAAGAAGATGCAATGAAAGCTACATTACTGTGATTGCAGTCATTACATCATAGTTGAACTCAAACTAATTATCTTTGCTTGCTGTAACATGTATCAAATCACTGTTGGTGTTTACAGAAAGCTACTGGTGCTTCATATATTCTCACTTGCTATGGGGTTTGGTGTTTGGCTTTATGGATTTTACTAAATGCACAGAAACCTCACCAGGTATTTTGGCTGACAGGAGTCAGTGGCAGATACCTAGGGAAGGGAATAGTAACAGACAATCCTAAGTATCTTCCCAAGTATTCTCCCAGTAGCAAGCCAGGAATTCTAATTTCTTGGCTCACATGTTCATTGAAAAGTGCCTTATTCCTCCTTTCCTCACTGTGATTTGACTGTCACAAACCTGAGAAAGAGCAAAGCAATCCGAATTTTTATTGTTTGCTTAAATGTTACAGTTTGAACTTTTTGAGGAGGTCAAGGAGCAGATATTCTTAATACTTAAGGACATTCAAATGTTTACACTCTCACACCTCTGTACATATTCTTAAGGACATTTAAGTATTGACACTCTGTACTCACATTCTGTGACAAAGAAGTTGAGCATGGTCAGGACAACAGTGTGACCACTGAACATATAATCTCCACATGTATGCACTCCAGTCAGAGTCATTCCAAAGCCACTCCATATTGCAAATGCCCGCTGGAGTTTTGCCCAAACATTGCCATACAACTGAAAAACAGTGATATTAACCTTTACTAAGTTCCAATTCCACTGCCCAAACAGTATATCCCTAAAGTTAGCTGTACTGCACTATGTTTGTTTAATACCATTTATCATGTTGCATCTTTTATTAAAATGCAGGTTAGCACATCTTTGGATTTCACCGTGGCAGTGAGTCACATTAGTAACTACAATTACTAATTGTATTCAACATACAATTAGTAACATACAATTCAACATACAATTCACTCTTATGAATACTGGAATTTAGAGCAAGTATTTTATTCCAAGTGATTTACCCACACAGCCTGCCACCTTTTTTTGAATGTGTTCAGTCTCCCAAATGTATCATTATCAAGCTTTCCATTTGTTCAGCTCAAACCTCTCCTAACTAAAAGTTAGGATGAAATCATAAAATCCCATGCTCTAAGAATATCCCTTATGAGAAGGGTTGAAATAATAATAGTTTGTTGGGTTTTTTTCCAAAACCATGCAACCAACAAAAGAAAAAGAAGCAATTACTTCCCTTTCAGTCTTTCTTCATGAAGTTAGTAGCTTAAGTGCACCCACCTCTTTGAATGTTTTACAGTGTGAAACATTCTGAGCACCCTTCCCCAAATAACCATATACTCTCCAGAGTGGCAAGTGCTTCTAAGACCCCCAGGGATGTTTGCCTGCCTGTGCTAATTAATGCAAGACAAGGAAACGGGAGAGAAACATGATGCTCTTAAAAAACACATGTCTAACACTATGGTTACAACAATCTTAATCATGTCTTAAATATTTTTTTTACAAAAGGAAACAGGAAAAATAATTTAAAGCACTTGAAGTTCTTACCTTTCCAGTACACTGCAAGTGCTGTCCTGGCACCGAGAGTGAGGTAACAAACATTGTAATGCAGCGTAATAGAAACACTGTCCCCATGAGGCTGCACAGCCTGCGCAGCAGTATAGATCTGGGAAGAGCACACAGCAACTGAGATCAGGGAAGTTATGATAAAAACATTTCACCTCACTCCACCTTAATCCCATTAAGTCCTGTCATCATCACTGCAAGTTCCACAACATTTTTTTTTTTCCAATGAAGTAGTACTGTAAAAATAAGGTTCCACATGACAGGGTGAGACATTATAACAAGCTAACTATCACCAAAAGGTACAGCTCCACCTCTGCAGCTACTCTTGTGCTAGCTTTGGCACTCATACCTTCTGTTGGCAAGCTGATAAAATTCAATGAACCCGGGAAAATTTAACTTAAAATATGTATGAAGACAAATGCATTTTCTATCCCTCTGTGAACTGCCAGGCTGGTTCAGACATCCTGTGGCAATTAATTCTTGTAGCATTTTCTTATATACAAAACAGTTATAGCTTGAGTGTATATACTGACAACTCTCTGAAATACATATGTTCTGAAGGAAATTATTTATAAATATGGTAGAAAAGTAAATTCAGATAATTCCTTTGATAGATTCACAAGCCATCATTCTTGATTAAATCCTCCCTAATCAATTTTAACAGCAACATAATAGGAATTGACAAGATTCGTACAAAATGGAACTTCTTAAACAATCATAATAAATTCTTGTTATGGTCTTTTCTCTGCATCAAAGTACCAGTTAATTTGGATTTTATAAAATCTACCTGTGTTTGTGAAGCAGAAGAACCAAGAGCCAAATGTAGCAAAGAATTACACCACATACTTCAGTCATAGCAAAAGCCCATGGTATCCTAGGGACGCTAAAAAAAAGACAAAGCAAGAAAATTAATACAAAAGCTTAATTTTTTTCTCAGTCTTGGTACTGAAAATAAGGGTATGTGAAGTTCTAACCTCAAAACTAATTTGCATTCATCTGACAACAGTATAAACTGCAGCCAAAAATACTTTTGTTAGGCTGAATGAAATAGAACTTGAAATGTATTCAGTTCTGTTATCTTCTTCCTAATAATGTGCTTCCAGTTTACACAGAAATCACTAAGGGAAAATCTCTAGTATGCTCTCTTAATTTACATGTGACTTACTAACAGGATGTGTTCCTCTACTATTGTTTCACACAACCTTTTTCATTCTGACAAAAACTTGCATCATGTCAATTATGCTGCTTATGCTTGCAAGAATGCCATGACAATGCAATGAATTAAATGCTGCAAGGCCAAAAACATTAAACACTTGTAATGAAGCAGAACTGCAAAAAAAAGTATCAGGGAAAATAGAAATTGTTTTCAAAACTTCAGTGATAATCACTACATGAAAACATTTCAGCCTTCGCTGTCAAAAGATCTAAGACCTTGCCCTCATAAGGCACCAGTAACAATTTCCACTCTTCAGTCACCAAAATACAGATCAACAGATTTCAAGAGAGGCTGATCCTTGCAGTTTTTTGCTCCCCCTGATACAAAGGGGTAGCAAAGCACTCAAATATGAGCTTTGTAGTAATCCCCTGTCATTGTTCCGTGAGCTGCTGCTTTCTGGCCTCCCCCATCCTCCTGCGCACTGAATACCATGGGAGCACCCTGGGAACAAATTCCAGTAATGCCACAGCTCCTGTTCTTGCTCCCCTCTTACACTCTGCTGGACGTGGTCTGTCCTTGAGGAGTTATCTACAAATTTATGGAAGATTCTGCACACTTATTCAAATGATTAGAGTATTACTGACTTCTTGGAAACCATTAATGAAAATGGAAATTACTGGTAGGAACAGGAAGATCACAAAGGCTGAACTTTTTAACAGTTTAACTCATCTTTTAAAACTCTCTAGGCAGTTAAGTTCTCCATGGTGCAAGTGCACTTTCTCAAAAGGAACATTTATCCTCTATTAAACTGGTTGTCAATGACCAGAATTTGACCTTTGCCGTTGTGTCTCTTCTATGCCTGAAGTGAAATATTTTCTTTAAAAAAACGAACAGGTACAGCATAAGTCACAACAGTGGTTTAATAACCTGTTAAAAGAGATGCTGGTCTTTTCATTCAACTTCAGAGTTTCCCTAGACCATCTTCAACAAGCTAACAGTGGGAAGACAGTAAAAATACAGTACCAATGCTGTTCCCTTTCAATTTTCTTTCTCACTCACAGACCAAAATATTCCTTAATCCAAAGATTTTTTTATATCAAGACACTTTAAGCTTCATGGCAGAAACTGGATTTCAGAAATTGCATATGGCTGCATATCTCTGCCAGCTGACCATCACACTTTTTACCAGAATGCAAGGATGGATGAAGTAATTACTGTGTTGTAATGAGTTTAAGATGTACAACTAAATATAAACTAGGTAGAACAACAGCTCAATTTATTTTCCCCTAAAACCAAATCTCTCCATCTAACTGAGCCTCATTTCCATCTCAATAGAAGGACTTACTAGACTTTTATTACTATTTTGCAAAGGCATCTTCTAGAGCATACGACACTTTCTTCCAGAGCATATGAAACTTTGAAAACAGAGAAAAGACAGCCTATGTTTTAACCATCACATTACTATTTTGTTTAGAAAGAAAATGTCTTACCTATCTAGAAATATGTCTGGCAGAGGTGGATATGTTTGCATGTCAGGCACTCGCTCGTGTACTATCACCATGACAAATGATGTAAAGCCAAACACTATGAAGACATACACACAACTTAAAACTGTCTTCCAGTACTCTGGGTCCAGTCTTCGTGTGGCATGTTTGTTTTTTCCATTTGCATATTGATACTGATCACCATTCAAGTCAGTAATTGGTCCATCATAGTCCCGAGGTACTTCACCATTACAAAACCAATCTGCCCCCTGTAGTGAGCCAGCTGGGCACACTGTGCCAGCGTGGCCATCACTGGTGTAACCCAGCTCTTCCAGGACGTCGACATGCTGCTTCTGCAGCTTGCGGATGGACAACATCAGCCTCTTGATATCCCCCAAGATTTTGATTTCCAGAGGAGGGGATCGCAAGTCATACTCGGTAAGTGTCAGCAGGGTAATTCCATCTAGCCTGTGTCTGTTGCACAAAAGATCCACGTATTCACAGAAGCCTTCTTCCTTCAGCCACTTGGCCACGTTCTTGGTAGTCCAGCGTCGAATGCAGAGCTGGTTATTGCCCGCCATCCTGCCCCCTTATCCGCCGATCACACTGACCTGCTGCACAGAGACAACACCAGAGTGCTTAACACACATCACTGACGTGCCACTGTCTGTTGTGCAATTTTAGATGCTTAATTAGCCCAACACATTTTACATAAGAGGCAGCTAAAAAAACAGATCTAATTTCTAAGGTAAGTAATATTAAAATGACATTTTTTTATTCAAGAAAAACTAAATTAAGATTATCTCATTTGCTCCTAAACAGAAATCTAAACTTTCCAAGAAACAGAATATTTCCTAGATGTATTCAGTACACAGTTCTAATTTTGTTATAAATAAATAAATAATTCCCACTTTGTTAATTACATTAGGCAATGAAAATCAAATACTATTCTTTAAATACCAGCTTAATCATTAGACTTTTCCACTGTTTGCAGTTCATCAACTACATGAGCAAGTATAGCCAGCAAACACACAAAACTGAATTAAAGCTGAAACAGTACATTTCAATACAGTTCAATATATCCCACTGTTTTAAAATACATACTGAAGCTATGATGACATGACATTCCCCCACTCGTTCCAAGTAAACCTAAGCCTAGATATCTGCAATAGTATTGAGCTGAAGTATCTTAGTTGTATGATGATGGTACAACCATCCTATTTCTTTGTTTGATCTCGGTAATTAAGATACTGAATTGTGAATCCTTTAAAATACACAGCTTTCAAAAATTACATTACTAGAAATGAAGCACTGGTTTATGCTTCAAAGCATTTTTAAAATTGATGTGGTAGTAGATAGCATACTAACACACCAAAACCAGAAGAGTTGTATTCTCTTCATACAGATTTCTCAATAATTGTGTTCATTACTCTAGAATATTGCGTGAAGGAAGGAGAGACAGCTCAGCAACATTTTAGTCACATGGTGGTGACAAATCACCAGAACAACAACCAGGGAAAAAGTTAACCACAGGACACTATGTGGAACATGACAGAACTCTGAAAGGCTACCAGTGAAGTAAAAGCACTAAAACGTTTATGCAATATTGAAGACCCACAGCAGCAGAGAATGGATTTGTGCATAATTTATACTTGGTGGCTCATGTACAGCTACCATCTAAGAAACAGCTACAATTTCACAGCTCTTTTGTACTCAAAAAACAGTCTAGCTAACTTCAATCGTGCCAACCGAATCTCGGAAAATACAAGGCACTACAATAAACTGCTGCCACATTATTCAAGGCTTTCAGAATGAAAGCAAAGAAAAAGTGTATTTAATCTATTATTTAGCTTCTGTCTATAGTAAACTCAAACCCATATGAATATTCAGCACAGTTCTCCATCTTTTTCAGGAGTACAGCTCTTCCAAAAACAGAACATCTTTCCTTCTCACTTCTTTTTTTAAGGAGGTACAATACCCATTGTGCTCTTAATATAATTACTGGGTGCAGCGTTTTCTTCTGCCTTTCATCCAGCAGAACCACAAACTATTTTATACTGTATCAAAGAATATTCAATTTCCCAAATGAGATTTCCCAGCAGTGAAAAATTAATATTTTAGAAGAAAAATGAGCACACAAATCACACTTACCCTTCTAAAATAATTAAGGGCATGATACTTCTTAAGATATTCTCTCAGGATTTGATTGTATATTAAGAACATGTACTTAATTCATTGCTAAAACTTCTCAATACTTCACACACTGTCAATAAGTACATAAGTTTTAATACTTTGATTTAAATAGTTGCCCCCCCCAAAAAAAAAAATTACTAGAATATCTGCATATGCTATATGCTTCCTTCTCCATATAAAAGGGTATTTTCTCATTTTTATGTTATCTTACTATTTTTGAAACTGTAGCTCAAAAATAACTGTAATAATTATTTTGGTTATATGGCTAATAAAATAAACTATGACATTTAATTCAGTTAAATATCCCGGCCCACTCCCCCCTGCAGTGGGATGGAGGGAAGAACTGTAAAAATGTAAATCCAAGGGGTTGATATAGGAACAGTTTAATAATGGTAATAAAGTAAAATACAGTAATAATAACAGTGGAAATAACAAAGAGAGAAGAACAACTCCCGAGAAAGACAAGTGATGCACATTATAACTGCTCAGCACCTGCTGACCTTTGTCCAGCCAGTTGCCCAGCAGTGGTCAGCCCTCTGGGCCAACCTGCCCCTCCATTTATATACCAAGCATGGTATGGAAGGCTCCTTTGGCCAGGTTCAGGTCAGCTGTCCTGGCTGTGTCTCTACCAGCTTCTTCTGCCCCTCTCACTGGCAGAGCAGGGGAAACCAAAAACTCTTTGACTTAAGGTCAGCACCACTGAGCAACATCTGAAACATGTGTGTATTATCAACATTGTTCTTACACTAATCCAAAACATCCAGTAAAAATAAACAAACTTGAGTTGCCTATCTGAACTTCCAGCTTTCTTTACTCAGAAATAAATACTGAAAAAAAAGTTGTTAATCACAGTGAGTTTTATAACATAGTAATCATGATGGGTTTTCTAAAGGCAGTGAATGTCAACTCACCACAAATACAATCAATTTACTGATACTGTCATGTAATCAAAGCAACTTCTGAGAACAAAGGCAGGAAACTGTCCCTAACCTAAGAGAATTCTATTCATGTGTTACAAGTCAAGTAGCCTAACAGCAGCCTAGTCTTCCTTCATCTGGCATTGCTGGAATGAAAATCAACCCTTACTAAAGGTGCAATAAAAGTAACCTTACAACACTGAATGAGCACACCCATCAAAGGTCACTATGGGCTGGACCTGAGAGAAAGTCTCCATTAACCTCAAGATGCAACTGATAGGACTTGCTCTGTTTTCAAACACTGCCAACAAGAGAACACTTAACCAATTGGAAAATATAAGGAAATGACCACAAAACTCAAATTTAAAACATTCGACAGAGCAGGTAGTTAATTTTGTCTCAACAGCAACAGGTAACTCATTTTTCAATGACAAAGAAACTTCTTAAACCCTGAAACTGCCTTCCCTTTCAGACTACTCAACTGGTGATAATTTTGTGGTTTAAAGAGTAAAAGGCACTTTCCCTAATAATCCTAACACCTGGAATACAGTACAGATCCCTGTGTGCAAGTGCTCCTGTTCCTTTTTGAAGCTGAAGAATGCTGCATAACTTTTACAGCACTAGACTGCTATGTAAGAAGGCAAGTCCCCTAGATAACTGAACCTATATTCTGAAAGGAAACATCTCTGGTAACTACTTTGCCTTCCATATTACTAGTTTTATCACTAAACTAAATAATGGGTAACATTATTTAATGATGAGTAACACACATAAGTAGCACAAAGCAAGCATAGACTTGAGCATCAGAAGGTAAAATATGCTTTTCACCTGACATCAGCAATGTCTGTAACTAGTTAGTTGATTATTTTCCTGGTACTGTGACTTAACACTAAGCAAGCCTGTCAACAGTATGTACTGTGTGTCCCATTTTAGTGCACCAGCTTTTCAATTAACAGCATGAACACAAATGCATATGAACTTCATATGTATAAGTATTTACTTTTTAAAAAGAAAAACATTACTTTGTGAGTCATAAATATTCCTACAATTTGGCTGTGGCATCTTAAGTAATAAGATGCCTCTGAGAGGTTGACTATACCCTAGATGACAGCAAAATTTCCTAGATGTATATATAGAGAAAATTAATCTCCCTCAACATGATTGTCCATGATTCTATTATGTTCCCATCTACTGAATTGCTGCCAGTCAACCATTCATTCCCTAACTTTCCTAGCTTACAGACTTTGAGACTGTATAGAGGTAAAAGTGTGGGAAGTTGAATATGCTTATGACTACTCTAGCCAAGGAAAAGTAGCATTAACATCATCACAGTAACATTAGCCTGCAAACTTGATTAGAGCAGAGTCATAGCTGAAGGGTTAAGCAACCTAGTTAGGTCTGCAGCAGTTAGCAGAGTGCTGACTGGTTTTGTTTATTCTAGACACGCAAGTAAAATCTCTGCTAGCACCATTATTGCTTTACCACCTACCCTCAGGGACCTGGGAGAGCATCACCCCTTGATTTTTTTTTCCCCCGAGATTCAATTACCACTATCCTGGAGAGGAATTTTAGGAAGGATGATGAAGAACTACCAGATCTCAAGTGATTTAACCTACATTTCTATGTGAAGGTTTCAAACTGCAGTTTCAATACATGCCATAGCAACTCAGACCCCCGCTTTGCTGGCACATCCCTCACCTCAGGGGAGAGGCTGTTCCCTGTAAAGGCTGCTACTTCACCCAAGTGGACAAGGCCCATGTTGGTGGCCTTGGTTTCCCAGCACAAAAAAGCTACACAACAACATGTGCTGAGCCAGCCTGCAATAATAAGGCTACTGTCACGCACCAACTTAGCAATGCTGTGCTGGAAAAAGAACACACAGCACTGCCTTGTTATGTAGCACAAGGCTCAGCTAGTCCGCTGACTCTGACTTACATGAGAAGCTTGTCACCTGTTCTTCCTGGAAACTCTAAATTCTTCCGTGCTTATTTAAAGCAAACAGCACCAAAGATTTCACTGCCATATAGCATACAGTGGCTCAGTCCTTACTTTCTAAATGCCACCAGATACACATAATACAGGAGGTATCTTGTAAGCAGGACAGAAAGAACACATGCAAAAACAATACATGATTCTTTAAGAGTTTTTAAATACAGTGGCTATTATACTACATATAAAATTGATCAAACACAGAACAATGTCCACCATGAGACAAAAAAATGGTATTTTCCTGAAGCAAGAATACAATAATTTCAAATGCATAAATATTGCTGTAAAACTTGCATTGAGTTTTAATTAGTGACTTTGGTATCATAAGTGAGATGATCAGCAGTAGCTTAACTGTACTCAAATGTATTAGTGCTATGCATGAAGGTAACATAAGGGATTTCAAAGTAATACTAATTTAGTAAGGAAGATGAGCTTTTTGAGAATTATTTATCGAAGTGCAGCTTGTGGATCAAATATAGCTCTGTATTCTTTGCAGTCTTTATGTTGAGACACCTCTATGCACAAGTGACAGCAGCTACTACAGAAAGTCCTGGAAGTTAAACGTTTGTCTTAAGAACCACTAAGTACATTTACATATTGCATCAAAATTAACAGAATACATACTGCTCCCTGGCTCTTACACCTCATTTAAGCTAAACAGGTTGTATTATACTCAAGTGAACATTAAGAGCAGCTCAACTCCTAATCTACTAACCAGCTAGCAAAACAAATTTTTATACTACTGCCATAATTCAAGGCACACACAAGTGATTTTTAAACAACTGATCAAGTACTCCGCCACTTATCTTAGAATGGCATTCACAGTATTTCACTATTTGACCAAGTTCTTGAACATTTTACAAGCTAAATATCAGGTGTCGAGTATTTTTTCTTGTTTCAAGTAGTGTATCCCTTCTGTAACAGAATGTTGGCTACTCTTTATCCCTATACAACTTAGGAGTAACAACTCAAGTTTCTTTCTACCCTTTTCTTCCCACACCCTCATCTTACAATAGATTTACAATAGGAGAAGATACGAACAAACTCTCCATCCAAATGAATACCAGAACAATATCTGAAGTGAAACTGTGTTTCATCTTACTCTCCATAGCCATTTACAAACTGATCTTTCTGGTCTAGTGAAAATCTAATAGCCTTCCTCATTGTAGATGCATTAAAGTAAGTAAGAAATAAAAAAACTTCTAAAAGGTATGTGGTTATCAAACAAACATACACAATGTTATATGGTTAGTGGACCAGCTAAGTAGGCTGCAAAAGCAAGCTCTGTACAAAGAAAAGCAACAGTGTGGAACTCAAAAGATTACAATTCCTAGGCCAACCTGTATTTTAATAGTATCCTACTAAAATAAACCCCTGACCAGCCAGCAAAAAGAATATCACATAGAAGAGCAAACAAGATAATTTAGAATGTTTGTGCTTTGCAGTATTAAACAACAAAACCTTATAAAACTTCCCAAAATTCCTTTCACTTGGTACAAAAATCACTTCACACTAATCCTACAGGTTAGTTCCACCTTTCTTCTACATTACAGAAAGTAAAAGGAAGAAAAAGACACAGCCATTTCCTTACCTCTGATATCCGGCAAGAAGCACCCCCTATCAAACAGGAGGGGCACTCAAATGCCAGAAAATGTCTTCTGAGCTCTTGCCACTCCAGAGCACAGCATGATCAGCTGCTCTGTGGAGGTGGCACAGACACCGTGTCCAGCTGCACAAGGGAGCTCTGTGGAGACAGAGCAGACATTAGACAAGCTCAATCTTGCCATCAAGTCATCTTACAAAACAGAATGAGCGTTGCACATGTAAAATTTTTATAAAATTAATTTTGCAAACTAAAGCCTCTAATACAAAACCATGAGACCACTTCAACTTATTACAAATGTTAACATTAACACTACCTCTCACTTACCTCTTCCATTAACTTAGGGAGTTGGAAAAACCTACCTTTTTGAAGTGTTGGGGTTTATTAATAGCAATCAGCAATAGCTAAGTGAATAAGGCCACATAATTAATCAGTAATATAGATTTAAGAGACTGAGTGGGTAATAGTGCCAGTAGTTTCAATTTCCTTATGCTCAGGTCCTAAACTTGCACACTCTCCCCACAGGCAGACCCCACCATTTAACCCTGAAACTCGAAGAGCACATGCACAAACCAGTAACAGCACTGTTCCATGCTGCCTTGTTAATAATCAAATCCTACATACTCAACAGCATTTTTATTCAAAACTGACCATTTTGTCCTCAGAAATCATACCGATTTTATTGAAAAAAGTAATAAGAGTATCTATTTCGACCGGGTACAATCGTTTTGTTATCTCACTGTAAGACTGACACAAAGCATCTTTTCCAGGAACGATCTGTTTGCTGCGGAGGCTGACGCGGGAATCAGAAACCACTCGGGTCCCCTCTGCCCCCACAACACAACGCAGCGCACCGGGCCCGCAGGCCGCGACCCCGCTGCCGGCCCCGTCCCCGCCCCGTGCCCGGCCCGCAGCTCCGCACGCCGCTCCTGAGGCCGGCAAAGTTCAGCCCGCCAGCGGCACGGCCGGGCACAGGGCTGACCCCTCCGGCCGGGCAGCGCCGGCGGCATCGCCCAGCGCGCAGCTGGAGCTGCCGGCCGGGCGCTCCCGCTCGGCAGAGATGAGATGCGATGTGCCGGGCCGGGCCGTGCCGGGCCGGGCGGGCGCGGTAATTACGGCAGGGCGGATTTTAGCGCGGACACGCAGCACGGGGGGCTCGTCTTCCCCCCGTAGGCGAAGCTGCTCTCCTCCCGCGCAGCTCCGCGGCGGGGCGGCCCTTTCGCCCCGGGACCCTGGGGGTTCACGCCGCAGCGGGGACAGCGCCGGGGACCCGCGGGCAGGGAGGGTCCCGGCACGGGCCTCCCGGGCAGGGCCCCGCGGCTCGCCCCGCCTCACCTGCCGCCGAGCCGCGGTGCCGCCGCGCCGGCGGCGGCTCCTCCGCGCCCTGCCCGTGCCTCCGCCCGTGCCTCCGCCCGTGCCTCTCCTCGGCGGCGGCGGCCACCGCCACCCCCCATCCCCCGTCCGGAAGCGGCGGCGGCAGCGCCGGCGGGCGGCGGCGGAAGGGGCGGGGCGGGCGGAAGGACGGGGCCCGTGCCGGGACGGGCTGCGGGCGGTGCGGGGCTTGGAGTCCGTGCGGCGGCGGGTATCCCGTCCTTCAGCTCAAAGCACGTACCGGGATGGAATAACAGAGGAAACTTGCAGGACCCTCGTACTGTCAGGCCTCGTATCAGGCAGTCATTACAAAGCATTTCAGTTGCACCCTTGTTCTTTACCGATGTCTGTATGAAAAAGCACTTAGCCGACGGCACTCGGTCATTTATGCAGGGGATCCAAAGCACAGATGTGAGCAGCACTCGTGACTTCGGGAGCTCCATAGTCTACAAACACTACAAATGGAGAGCATAGAAGGAGACAGACAAAGTAGAAGCAAATCCCTCCAGAAATAAATTTATTTTGGATACCAACTGGCTGGGGTAGCTGCCAGCCCTTTGCAACTGTTCGAGGAACAGTCAGAATTTGTTTTTGTTGATGTTGTAATTACTAGGAGGTTCGAAACAAGTCTTAAGTTGTAGCTTCAGTTGAAATAAAAGGAGTTGCCAGTGTATCCATGAAGTCAATGGCACTGCCTTTTCAGAGAAAGTGGCCTTGAGATTCTTGTTCAAAAAAAAAAAAAAAAAAAAAAAAAAAAAAAAAAAAAAAAAAAAAAAAAAAAAAAAAAAAAAAAAAAAAAAACCCACCAAAAACAGAAAACTACTGCAAAATTTATATACTGCTATAGTGAAACAAGAAAATTTGCATTTCAAGATTCTGCAAAGCTAAGTCAAGTTGTCAACTCATCAAGCAATCCTATGCAAATATGCATTCTTGTACTATCTCAATTGTAATGGACTATCTACCAGATATTCAGAAGAGAAACTGTGAAGAACACCTCTCAGAAGGTATGAGAACACCTGCTCCTTTCCACAAGCCTTGATACTGGTTCAAAGATGCTTATCTCTATGCAATCTGTCCTGTCCTGCTTTTCTTTTTTGCACTAAATGATCTGTAGTTTCCCAAAATGAGTTCCTGAAGTTGGAGGATGTGTTCCACCGTTTTTGCCAGTTTAGTAGCATCTGCAAACAATGTAGGAATCAAGTGCAATTTCAGTCCTCACAATGTTTTCCTTCTTTGCCTTTAAGCACTAGATGAAGAACTGATGAATCTGAATTCTTCAGTGACAAACCATAGAACACATACATATAAATCTGAAAAAAAATAAAATGGACCTTGTCTTCCTGTTTATAATGTCTCAGTTAATAAAGCTGGTTGAAAATTGAAGTCATTTTGCTTACTCCAGGTTCACATATTTATATTAAAAAAAACCTAGCATTTATCTGACAAAGAAAACAAAATTACAGGAGAGCAAGGCAACTAAGTTAAACAAGACTTTGTGCTTCTCTATTATGTGCATTCTCTACTGTTTTTGACATTAATTCTTCTTCAGCAACTGCCACTCGATCATAACTTTTTGCACACTTCCATGTGCCAAGTTGGTACCATTTATAATACATGGCTGCATTTGCTTCTATCTGAACAACTGGTTTAAACCAAAAATGTAAAAATAAGCACGAACTAAAGTTAAAAATTGCTGCAAAAACAAGCATAGCAGGCTACAGAGCTATCTCATTATGGAATAGGTCACTGTGACAGCCTTAAGCAGGTGTCCTGAAGCTAACTCATCATTTGGGATCTCATTCTTTTCATGGGAGGTACCAGGAAACTGCTGCTTTCTTCAGAGTGATATGGTTTTGTTGTTTTATTTTATATATAAACATGCACTAGGGTCTATCAGCTCACTAGATTCCAGGAAGGAAACAAAAATGGAAGCAGAAGTTTCCTAACCCTGTTTCCCTATGCTATAGCAAAACCAGCAATTTACATTAAAAATGACATTCCAAATTCAGTCTCCATACTTTAGCAGTCTGGGTTGGAAAATGACCTGTATTTAGACATGCATGTTAATCCAGGACTACCTGAAGTTTACAGGTCCTAAGGTGTGTTATTCCAGCAACAGGTTTCCATGCAGGGAGCCCCTGGCTAAGAGCTGCATCCAGAGCGAAGGTGAAGAAGCCAGCCAGACACATATGCAGTGGAGAGCAGCCTGGGCCTGGCTGGGCTGGCTTGCAGAAGCGATTTGTGACAGGACAAGGAGTAATGGCCATAAGCAAACACACAAGAAGTTCCACCTCAACATGAGGAAGGACTTTATGTGGAGGTTGGAAGAGCACTGGAACGGGCTGTCAGGAAGAGCATGGAGTCTCCTCTGGAGACATTCCAAATGCACCTGAATGTTCTTGTGTCTCCTGCTCTAGGTGACCCTGCCTTCACAGGGAGGATGGGCTGGATGATCTTCAGGAATCCCTTCAAACCCTAACGAATCTCTGATTCTGTGAACTTCAGCACTGGAAAAAAGCTTGATGGTCAGTTTCTATTTCAAGCTACCACTGCTAATAGCATTTTTCTTCTCTAATTTCATCATCTAGCAAATATTTTGAAAATTACTAAATAAGCTTGCACAGAAAAGTAATAGAGCATAATTTAAAACTTGTAATACTTAGATATGTAATAGCTGCTTAGTTGTTGCACTTCAAAACTGAAAACTACTTCTCCTTGCTAACGTTTAATGTTCTTTAAAAGGGTGAATTATCTGAATAGTTGGTGCTTTATTTAATAGTAATTTCCAATAAACCTCATTCCGTCACTTTGAGTTATGTCACTTCACGCCATGTAACACGAAGGCATTGATGTAAGTTTGACAGGCAGTGCCAGTGCTGACAAGTCAGTTTGAGAATTTATGACAAATTATATGCTACAGATATTTTTAAAACAGCTGTGGATTTCCAAGGAAAAAAAGTATTTCAAATATGTAATAACACTGATGTATCTTTAGATTGAAAACAATTTATTCAATTCACATAGTTATATTGATTTAATGCTCAGGCTGACACTTAATGCAATAAAAGAAAGGAAAATTATATCAAAAATTCCCAACTAGCTCAAGTTTCAATATATTATAGAGCAAAGGAAAATGAGATGTGTGAATGTAATGGGGGTTTTTTAATTATTTTAAACATTGTCATTAGCATTTAATAATTTGAAATAATCTATCTCAATTGGTAAGGCCCTACACAAAAAATAAAGAGAGTCAGCTGAACAGAGCTGAGAATAAATTGCTTATGAAAATTATTATTCAGCAAAGAATACAACATGGCAAAGGGGGGTATCTTTCACTAGAAGTGCTAACTGATTTAAATAATGTTTTTTTCTTTTTCTGGGTTTGGGGTGGAGTTTTTGGTAATCTCATTTTTTTACAGATCAAGTCCTACCTTATAATTTCTTCACAATCTCTGTACTTCAGTTGAAGCATACTTAGGTCAGTCATGTGTGAACTTTCACACATCTATTTTATCTTCAAATGTCTTAATTCTGTAATGGAAGAATAAGACATTGAATGCCTAAGGACTAATCAAATTAGTAAACCATAATAATTTTTTAAGGCAGAAAACAAGCTTATTAAGAAGAGGATAATAAAGGAAAAAAAAAAAAAAAGAAAAAATAATAAACTCCATGTACTCAGCAGGCAAAATTGTTCCATTTGTTAAAAGTACATTGTTGTGGAGCACGAGGAAACATTGTCTCACTTACTTACTTAGTGTTGCCCAAAATGTACCAGAGTTCAAATACTTCTATTCTTCAATAGTTAATCATCCCAAAAATCAAATGCTGAAAACAGGCTAATGAGTGAAATGAGAAGAACCTTTTTGCAGCTGGAGATACTGTATCTATAAAATCCTATCTAACTGAACTGTCATGCTGTAACATTTTCACTGTAAAAGCTGTCTTCTTTCAGGATATGTGAAAGGAGTCTGATTTTGGCTCTTTTTTCAGTAGAGAGAAGACATCATACTGATATGAGTATTTTCAAGGGAAGAAATAGAAGAGACACCATGAATTTCCTGTTTTCAACTGCTGCACATTTTCCTAGCAATGCTATGTGCTACTAGAACACTCCACGGTAATTTACACTGCTGCCACTAATACATTATTAGCCAAGGACTGTTTGATTTAGATTATTGCACCAAGTAATACCTTCCAAGCAATCACAAAGGCATAGTGTGGTTAGAATGCTTACTGTTGCATGTTCCAAGATTAGGCATGCATTAATTTCAGCTAAAAGAGCAGCTGTTTAATGTTCATATATGATTGCACACAAATGTTTAGCTTAGAGTTGCCCAGCATTTAAACAGCCAGGAGAACCTCCAAATGACTGGAATCTCAAAAAGTGCTTCCTGCACAGAGTGCTAAACTTGCCTCCACTCAGTGTGACTTTATATCAGTCTGTTGCTTCCTACATCCTTTCTTAGCAGATGTTGAAAGTGCCAGAAAAGGCACAGATGTAGAGAGGTAAATCCATCTGAAAGCCAGATCCCTGCCTCCTGTCTGTTTCAAAGGCAACTTCTGGCTAAGAAAGGTAAGTGACACAGCTTTACCAAAGCCACATTTGCAGACTGTTAAATGTTTAGAAGATGTTCGTTGTAGAATGGCAGAGTTTTGAAGTTATGCATACATATGTTCGAGGCACAGAGGACTTGGGGATCACTTTTCCGGAGTTCGCGTTGTTCTGTTTGTCACCTTTTGTACCACAGATGAACTTTGAATTCTTAGTCATTGCAATTCGTGAATTTTTTAGTCATTGCACTTGGTGGAGAGACCAATAAAAGTTTTACAGCTGAAAAGGGTAGACTTAACCATGAGTTTCACCTTTTTCACCGAACTTGATTAGGAACAAATTGGTTGGGGTTACATTTATAAAAAAACTGATAGTAAAGCCTCACCTTGAGTCTCCACCCAGAAACCTGAGCAAAGTAAACTAAATTGAACAGCTTAACCTGCTCAGTCAGTTAATTTTCCTGATTCATGGGCGCACATTAATCAGCTTAAAGTGCACTAGTTTACTGAAACAACAACAACAAACCCAAGAACAAACCAGAAAAACAACCTAATGTATGAAGAGCATATACATAGTGCTTGAAATACAACTTTAGCCATTTTTCCAGTCCTCTCCTCTGCTGGGTTTGGCCAGCTGGTTGCCACACCCACAGCAGAGCCTGGCTGCCTGTCCTACACACTCTAAATAAGCACTGCAGTGCTGTTACTTCCCCTCATTCATTATTTTAGGTCAGAATGTATATGGCAGTGGGAAGTAACAAGTCTCTTTGTATACCAGAAGCTTTTAAACAGTTTCTTCCCTAAATACCACAGAACATAAGTAATTTCTTCTTCACAAAATATTCTATACAAAGTCACTTTTCCCTTGTTGCATATGATGCTGGAAAACTATTGCATTATATTATGATGATCTCCCATTGAGTACTTCTAATACCAGACAATTAGTCCAGACTTTAATACACATATTGGAATTTCCATTATATGACTCTTGTTAAAATAAAGCAAATTCATCATAGTATATCAGTGCATATTGATATATTCAACCTGACCAAGAGTTCCTTCTATTCATGACCTTTCTTTCTACAGGGGAAACTCTTAGCAATAAGCTTCTCCCCTTGGGTCACCTTCTCTCCTGGATTGCCAGCCTTACAGAGGAAAAGCATCACCATTTCTTTAGTTCTGCCTTGTAACTCCACAACTGACAATTTTGCAGCCCCCTGCTAGGAGCCATTCTGCAGAAGCACAGGCACTGCTATACTTGAAAAGACCCACTAATACTACAATTTGATATCGTGGGTCTCAAATTTATGGCTCACCAGACCTTCCTATATAAACTAACTCAGCAGCTTACAAGTTTCACCTAAGAACCATTATGCTCTTGGCTTTTGGTCTCTTTTCAACAGAAGAAGGTATCACGCAATATGTGGCAGGTGTACCGTATTAACCCAGTGAAGGACTGCAATAAAAAAATATTAAAAATATAAAATACAGTTATGTGAGATAATTTCACTTTGTGAAAAACAGTAGCTTCAACAAATAAATCTCCTTAGATTATCAGTGACAGGCAAGGCATCATCATCGTCATCCACTTGGTGTTTAACCTCCTGGTGACCGTGTTGGTAGGACCCGCTGGTGCATTTCTGACCCTTGCAGCTCAGACTAAATGATGGACAAGTGTTACTGGGACATATTGCTATTTTTCCTTTATCATGCTTTAATTGCTAGCGATGAATACCCAGATCTCGCTGAGTGCCACGGCTGTGTCGAAGACACGGCTGGGGACAGTCAGAGCCAGTGTCAGTGCGTGTCCTGCGGGCAGGGGGCTGTGTCACATGTGACTGACGTCCCGGCACCGAGGCTGCTGTGGGGCAGAGCAGCGCGGCTCCGGAGACGAGCCCCGAGAGGCAGACCGGACCAGTAAGGGTCCGGCAATGCCCAGACCGGGACCTGGTCTGTTTGGAGCGGCTGTGGCGGCCGGGGCAGTGCAGAGGCGAGCGGCCAGCCCTGGCGCGGGCACGCCGGCCGCCCGGCCCCGGCCCCAGCGCTCCGCGGCCCCGAGCGGCGCTGGCAGCGCCCCGCGCCGCTCCTCCGGCCGGCGGCCGCTCCCCGAGCTCAGCATGTCCGGGACAGCGGCGCCGGACACCCCGGACCCTGAAGGCGCTGGGACATGTCCGGAGGACGTCCCTTCCCTCAAGGAGATCGAGCAGCTCCTCAACACTGGGCGGCCCTCTTGCAATCACGTTGATGAAGTATGGCCTAATCTCTTCTTAGGGGACCTGTAAGTACAGATTTATGGACGCGCCTATGCCATACGTTCTGTTGGTATGCTTCATGGGTGCGGCTTTAGACAGCTCATAGTTTTGCTAATTGCTGTCGTTTACGCTGCAGACAGCACGATTTCCGAGATAAAATTATGACAAAGCTGGTATTCCCTTCTCGATTAGCCCTTAGAATCAATGCATGGGCTGATGCTCCAGCAGTGGTTTGGGGGATGCAAGTCTCAGTGCTTGTGTTCTGTGAATATCATTGCGCCCATCTTGATTTGTCTTTGTCTTTTCCTTAGAGTAACAGCACACAATAGATTTGTTTTGTGGAAGATGGGTGTGACCCATGTTTTAAATGCTGCCCATGGCACATCATACAGCCACGGAGGGCAGGACTTTTATGGAGCAACCATTGATTATTATGGTGTACCAGCCCATGACCTGCCAAGCTTTGATATCAGCCAGTTCTTTTTCTCTGCTGCACAATTTATCCACAATGCCTTGAACACGCCAGGAGGTATGTAATTATTGTTGGTCACATTTTGATGGGAGTCAGCAGCCTCACATAACAGGTCAGCTTCACAAAGCTCAGTGGTGGACAAGTCACTACATGGTGTCCTGCCAGGTGCTGGTCACCTGCACGGTGGGTGGCAGGAGAAGGGAGTGCTGTGTATGTGGGTGTAGCTCTAGGCCCCAAAGAGCTGATGTGACAAAACAGATGAATCGTACAGGAGAGAGCCTGGGGAGGAGAGAGAAAATTATTTGGAAGGTAAGGCTCATTCAAAAGGGGAGAAGCAAAAACATGCATTGGAAATGGGCACCCTCTTTTGAGACTGTTTTATTGCAAGAAAAAAAAATCAATAAAAAGACTAATATCCTGATTTCTGCAATCACCAGCTGTATGAAGAGGTTAATATATTGCAGATGAGTTTCTTGCATGAACAGGGACTGCAAGGCTGTGCCTCCAAAAAGCAGATTTACTTTTACCCAAGGAGATTTACAGTGAGTTCCACAAGAAACTGAGCTTCTTGGCAGTGGTGCAATAAAATACTAATTAACCTGTTTTACATAAAAGACCATTTCTTAGCATGAGTAAACTGGCATTCATAGAGCTGTCGCTGCATCACAAGTTCTGACTTCAAAATAGAACTACAGTTGCATCAAATTGCCTTACTATGCAATAGTACTAGGCCAGTCATTTTTCTTGATGGCTAATGTGTCTGTGCCATCCATTCAAGCTAGATTTTAGCATTCTTCCTTGCATAAGCCAGCCTGCTGAAGCTAATGTGTCTTCTTTTCCTCATGCTCAAAACAGAACAGCTTTATTACTCTAAAGGGGTTTTCTTTGATTTACCAGTGTTTCTGAGATCAATTTTGGATCTCATGGCATTTCTCATACAAGTGACTGTAAGAATGGCAAATTAGATTTAACTGTTAGCAGTTCACGTGATCTATCAGAAGACTAAGAAAAACATTTATATTAAACTTCATCCACTGTACTGCTTATCTTGATGGTCGTATTTTTTTCTTTTTTTTTTTTTTACCAGCCAAAATATTGGTACATTGTGCAGTTGGAGTAAGCAGATCAGCTTCTCTAGTCCTAGCATATCTCATGATAAATCACCACCTGCCATTAGTTGAAGCCATCAAGACAGTGAAGGAGCATAGATGGATTTCACCCAATCGTGGTTTTCTGAAGCACCTGCGAAACCTGGATGTTCAGCTCCGGCAAAGGAAGGACTGCTGAACCGGCAGCCCTATCTACATTCACTTCACTCAGTTCCACCCTGCAGAGCCGTGGTGCATATACAACTTCCCATGATCTGTGCACATTACAAAAATGAAGACAATTATGCATTGACATAAAAGGCCAACAGAATGGTAAATGGATTAATTCTGATAGCTCAGTCCCTCCAAATCCAGAACAGCCAACAGCAGCACTCTATAACCACTGCACAGAGTGGAACTGCTGTGCCTTGAGTGGTGTTATTGGATGACTGCACTGAAGTGGTTAAGACAGACCAAGTTTGTCCCTCATTTCTGCTCGTGCCAGAGGCAAGTTCAATATTTGCATCTAGCTGTAAAGGATGTTTGAGTCCCCTTTGCTTGGAAGTGTAACATAAACTTTCTCAGTTTGGTTACAGTTCTCACATGCATGTTCTCCTAAGAAAAATTTTGTGCTCCCGGGCAATGATCTGACAAGGGCAGTTTCTTGAGAGCCCAGGCACTCCTACAGAAATGCTCCTCTTTTGCTGCCCTGCTAAATATTATGGTGTTACAAAAAGCTGTGTCAGCCACAAGACCCACACCATCAGAATAAATGTTTATGATACTTCTGCATCTTGGGTCAGCAAACCCCGAGTTTACTTTCTTGTTAAATATGTTTTCAAAAAGATAATGTATTGAGGACATTAAAAAAATTTGTTAGGTCTTCAAAGCCTTTTGTAAGTTGGACTCATCAGTTTGTTTGCCCTCCAGATTATCCCAAATCAGTTCTGTGTCAGTGGCTTTGTATCACCATGGTTTAATATCAGGTAGACATTTAGCTTACATCATTGACTTGGCCTAATTGATACAAATTAGTTTTAAGATGTTTTGAGGATGTCACTTTTCCTGTCACAGTTAATCAGTACTTAAACCAATGTGGTTTTTAATACAGCAACAGTGTCTGAAATTCATGCTACCACTCTGCCTGAAAATGAACTTGTTACCTTGTGGTGAACCATGAAATGATAATCAAATTTGGTTTTGCCATTTGCTGCTGGTTGGATTTATTGATTAGTTGACCTTAAAAGATTCCCTGACAGATTAAGTAAATACATTTTTGCTTGCTTGTTTGCATTTGAAGCATCAGTTTTGATCATTTTATTCTCTGCTGGAAGAGACTGACAAGGTTATTATAAGACTAATATAATGGTGACTTTGAGTTGAACCTTTTCCTTTCTAGACCACCTTTCCTTCTTCATTCTTGCAGAGGTAATGACATGAATGCTGACTCTGCCTAGCATTTAGGGGAATGTAGAAATCCCTCCCTATTTCACTGTACACAAGTGCTTTGCAAAATAAGCATATTTAAGAGCCTTTCAGACATCAGTTTGACTGTTGAGATTTTCCTAAATGTTGCAAAAGAGCTCCACTGATGAGAGAAAGGTAGGACATTGTTATGTGAAAAGTACAAATAAGAAATCACATTTAAAACCCAGCAGTGCTAGGATAATCTTTATACCTCACAAAGCAGCAGAGCAGTGGAGGAGGAGCTTTGTTTGCTTTGAAGTTCTCCATAAAAATTAATAGGAATTTATATGAGTTAATGTTTCATTATAATTTATACTTCATTCACATTACAGTGGGTTTTAGTCTGGAAACCTTTTGAAAATCTGAAATTCATGTGAGTGAAATAATGCATCTTAATGGCTTTAGGCTGGGCAAAATTAGACACATGTGAGCAAGATTAATGGAATCCTCCCATCAGGATAATGTTTTGCATGCCTCTGAGCATCTGTCCTACAAAGCCACAGCTGTGAAAGCTGCTCCTGTTATAAATTAGTACCTGCTCTTGAAGATACTGCTCATCCTGGGAGACTATTGTTTCACCAGGAGCAGGGAAGGGAAGAGCACAGAGAGAAGCTGAGTCAGTAGGGCATCCATACCACCAATGGCATGGTAATGATCTTGTGAGCATGACTTTCTTACCTCAGTGGAAGGCATGAATTAGGTATAAACATTTTTCAAGAGCATTGTCAAATCACAGAAGTGCTTCTAATCTGTGGAGTCAGTGTTGCTTATATTTCCTGCCTGTCTGTATTGCTTCTTTGTATACAAATTTACTGCACATTTTGCAGGGAAAAATTCCAGTCAACATAAGCAGAAGGAGAAGAATAGTCCTGTAATTTCTCAAAACAGAAAGCATTGCCTGCTGCAATGTGCTAAGAGGAAAAGGGACCTCCTCACCTGTCACACTATCCATAATTCAAGTCATGATGTGACATGACATTAGTACTTCACTGCTTTCCACTATCTGCATAAAAATTTGTATTTTGAATGTTTGTTTGGCAAGTTAGATTAAGAAACCAAAATGAAGGAAAAACACTGCGTCTCCAGTGGCATTTCATTCAGAAAATACACATTTGTCAAGCGGGTCTACACAACCTGGGAGAAGGTGCAAGTGAAAGGAACTGTCCCTGGTACAGCTCTGGCAGATTTAAATCTGCTTAAAGCAATCACAAAACCAGTGTCACCTGTAGGAACTTAGGTAGAGTTCCAGTGAAAACGTCCCTTCATTTTATTTTCCAGTACAAGAACTGAGGGCATCAGATGAAGCCAGTAGAAATCAGGTCTGAAACAAGAGGAGGGGTTTATATGAGCTGTGTAACACTTGCCACAGGATGCTGCAGAGAACAGAAGCCTATAGACATTCAAGTGGAAAACTCTGAGGGACAGAAATCCATTCAGGGTTACCAAATACTTATAAACTCCATCCAGATCAGCAAGCTCATAAACTGCAGCTGGAAGCTGGGAGAGTGTTATTATTATTGTATACACAAGTATAATTCATGCTTGTGTGTTCTTGTGTAGGCATTCACTTTCAACCACAGTTCAAGCACAGGACAGTGGGCTTGGTGAACCTTGGGTAAGGCCCAGGACCAGTGTTCTCATGGTGTTTATTTTGAACTCACCCTCAAGCTGTGCTGTCCCCTCTTTCCTGGTAGCTTATTATTAGAACTGGGTCACATGAGGCATTTGGGACTGTGTCTCGGTTGCACTGAGTGACATTTCTTTCACAGGGAAAGCTCCGTGCTAAGCAGGAACAGCACCATAGCTTATGTGAAGACAGGAGTAGCGTTTTTTTTTGCGCAAGATTCACTTAAAGCAGAAGGTTCATTTTTCTGGCTGTTCCCCATTGCATCAGGGACGTAGTGCTGAGCTAATCCAGGGAGGCGTCAAGGCGCGAGCTGTATTTAGAGTCAGCCACCTGCTCGGGAACATCAGGCGGCAGAAGGAGCCTGCTTCAGCAAAAACCTGCCCTGAGCATTCCACAGCAGCGGCTTCCAGCAGGCCCTCCCTCCTCTGCCTGACTCTGCATGAGGCCTCCAAAGGGGTCAGCACCTGAAGACAGACCCTGTCAGCCCAGGAATGCTCTGAGCCTGGCACTCCCTCTGCCCAGGAACTGCCAGATATTTTGGACAGCTGCAAGGTGGAATTAAATCACGTGGGTGAAGAGTGGCCTAATCTCTACATAGGCAATATGTAAGTGTTATTTGAGGCTGAGCTGTTCTGAAGGGCTGGGGAATACAGTACTAATTAACATATGCTGTCCCACTTTATATAGTTCATTGCCTTAACTTCGTTGCCTTAAAATAGACTTAAGATTAGCACAGAAGAAAGCAAAAGGACTATCCATTAAAGAAAGAACCTACTGCACAGAAAAATAATTAAAAAGAGAATTAGACTCTTTATTGCTTTGTATTAATTTATAATTGTGCAACATACAGATTTTATAAGTGCTGCAGCATTTACCATACAGAGCACAAGATAGGCTCATGATCCTGAGCAACCTTAAAATTGAACAATAGTTGGTTTTTACCTTTTTTTGGTGTAATTTTAAATAGAATGGAAATTTTCACATTAAAAAGTATTCTGATTTTGGCTGTTTATATGACAACTTGATTTGCAGTTGAAACTTTGACAAATCTACAGATATTCTGAATGACAGCAGACTGCACTATTTCTGAAAACTGTGCAGATGGGTATTTCACTCTGAAGCATAGAGAAAGCATGCAATCATCTGCACTCAACATGCCTAGTACCCAGTGTTATGCCAAAACAAGGGTTTTTTCACCATCATCAGGTTGCACACTTGTTGAAATATCTAGAAATTACAATATTTCCTACAGGAGAGAAGCAGAGGAAACTAAAAGCCCTGCTGATTGCCCACTGATTACAGCTAAAGTGGGCATTCTTTTAGCTATGAAACAGCAAAGCCAAAAAATGGGCCAGGTGACGCTGGGGAAATACTCTGCATTTACAAAACTTGGTTTTGCGGATTGCCGCCTGCTTCCTGATGTCCCTGCGCCCGCAGGCAGGAGCGTGGCACCGGCAGGTGGCCCCGTGCCCTGCGCTGGGGACAAGCACGGGGCCCTGCCCGGAGCCTGCCTGGGCTGAGGCAGGAACAGCGATGGGCAGCGCCTCGCTGAGCTTCTGCCTTGGCCCGGAGAGTGGGAAACCGACCCCTGCCTTTCCAGTTAAACCTGTAACTACACTTGGAAATTAACTATTTTACTTATTAGAACCATGTGCAGAAATAAGGATTTGTAGAATTGAGCCTGACAGGTGGTACAGGTCGAGATTTAAGACAAAAATCACTGAAATTGTGTTCTCTTAACAACAACATTTGATTTTAGACAGCCTTTTAAGTGCAGTTTCAAGACCTTTTCATGATTATGAATATACATGTTCCAAATTACTCTTGAATGTTTCTTTCAATCACATTCTGTCTTGTAGAGGGAAAGAAATGGTGGAGAACAAAATGAAAAATATATAGATAACAACTGTGTATGTGTAGTAAGGAAAAAACAAACTTTGAGAACACTCAGCTAACAGAAATAGAAATGTAAACAGGTTTCTTTGTTAATGGAACAGCTGATCACTAATACCAGCTTAAATATGAATTACAGACTGCAAAGAGTGAAACTGGAAGTTGATCAAGAACTACACATGGAATTTTCTTTATTGTGCCAACTTCAGTAAGACAAATAGGAACAACACCTGAGAATAAGGTTTAATGAGCTCTTCATGAGATAGAAATGGGGAATGGAGAGAGTATGTGCATTTAGGGCCCAGCCCAGTACTCAGTGAAGTTAATAAACAGTGGATGTTTCTGTTACTGAGCAAACCCATACCAGCATCAGAACTTGTGCCAGAGCTAAAATAACCCAGAGCAGTACCATATATTGTCACTTCTTGTTTCTGTGGAACCATTTATGTGCAGTTTCTGAGCAGCTACTTGGAAATCAAAGATCCATATAGAATTAATGCTGTATTTTGTAAGAAATATTTCTCTGTATGCCTTTATCAGAAATCTGATGTTCCCTGTCTTTAAACAAGTTAAATATATCATAAAATAAAGTAGGGATGGCTGACTTAACATGATGACTTTTCATCCTGGAGGACTTTGAAGTTGTCAACAATCTGATTATTAAATATTTGTCTGGCTATCAGCCATTGCTGATATACAAGGCCAAGGCCAAGACCTTTTGGGTTTAAAGGTACAATGTTTTCTGAAGTGCTATATAATAAGCAGCTGAGGGCACAATATGTAAAATATCCTGCAGAAATCAAACTTCATGCTGATCTTAAGCAGGCAGGTTTATTAACTGGAGTTTAACCAGATCAGCAAGGCTAATATCATGTCAGCAAAGAAATATTGTACAGTTACAAGCTATGCTGAAACCTCAATGTGTTCAACATACATATTTCAAATCCAGTTATAGAAGGATCCGAACTACCTCCTGAGATGAATTTTTGTAGGGTGTTTGGGCCAGCAGTCTTCAATGTGACTGTAGCCAACAGAAGTCAGTAAAACTTGTTAAACTTATTTCTTTTCAGAAGTTAAATATCTTGGAATTCTGCATTTCCAGATATGAGTATATTCAGAAATCTCAACCTTTTACCATTCTTCTACTACCTTACTTTTTCTTACACCTCTCAAAGGAGAAAAAATGTCTCAGAGTGTGGTGGGCACTGGCTCTACAGACAGGAATACATTACAAGGCAACAAGATAACTTCAGCTATTTGTAATCATAAGCTTTCATAGAAGACACAATCGACTTTAACCTATACATTCTGTGTGCATTAACAAGGGCAAATGGTGAGTCCCTGTCCCAATGGTAAACTGCTGCTCTTACACAGTACTGGCATTAAGCAATCACAAATTATTTTAGCAGCATTAACTAAATGTCACTCAAGCACTCAGGTAAGCCTAATTATCCACTTACAGACATTGTCTTCATTGGCACGTGGGAAAACAGAAGGATCCTGAGCGATTAGGAGTGACCAACAAAACCATATCCACATCAGTGGCAAGGATCACACATGGTGTACTAGTAATCATCAGAATGTATCTTCTGTCACAGGAGAGAAAAAAGAAAAGCAATTAAACACAAGACAGTTTTGAGGTCTCAGTCAGAAATTACTAGTTGGTTTTTTTTTTTTAGTTTTTCTGTATTGATTTGTCAGCATACACAACAAAAATAACTAAAAATAGTTACTTTCTCATTTGAGAAATAGCCAAAAGCTCCAAAGAGCTATTGCAGAGACATGCCAGTTGGCCATTTACAAAGCCTTATGCCATGTGTTTTCCTCTGTTTCTGGACTCAGATCTCTAGTAACAAAAAGCAGTTATTGATTTATGAAAGGGCTGTATTTAATACCCTGGAGGCTACTTAATCTGACTTGCTGTAAATTGGATCTCTCAGAGATGAGATGAGATGAGATGTGAGTGAGGCAGAAGTACAAACTTAAGCAATCTGTGACCATAGCACTATTCCGTGCAGCCTGGAACAGCACTATGTGTACTCCTTTCTGTTTTGAAAGGAAAAATCTTTATTTGTTGTATTCTTAGAAAAAGCAGATCTGCTTCCTTTATGCTGGCTTGCCTTATGATATTCTGCCACTTTTCTCTAGGCAATGCTATCCAAAGAGTTACTCAGTCGTGAGGAATTTCATCAAGCTGCAGGATTTACATACTGAACTAAGATACAGTATACACATATGTCAACTCTAAACTCTTAGGAAATTAAAAGAACACAAAGCAACAAGGAGAAATGTCAGACAATCTGAATATGAGATAAAGATGAAAGGAACATGACCTAAAGCTTTGGCAAAAAAATCTATTTTTCCTCTCTGTTTAGGGTATAGAATGTTTCTGAATTTTGCATGCTCCTTCATTTGGTTAAATGAAGGCAGCAAATATGCTAGGTACTCCTCTGGGATACATTCCTAATTTGCTGTCCATTCTGCTCGTTAACTCTTAAAACTCAACTCCAAGACAAAATAGGCCCCTGTTTAAAATTAAGGGTCTTAAGTATATCCCTGGACACAAAAAGATGCTAACCTGTTTTGCTGATTTGGATCAGCAAATGAAAAGGGGAAAATATTGCCCAACCCATACAAATCACCCATATGGGAGACAGTTTTCTCTTACTGGTGACAACAGATGCTCAATGGCTGAGAACTTTCCAGAGGTGACTTCTTCCTGCCATGTCTTCTGCCCAGCTCTGTCTCAGCTTTATGGACTTGAGAATTACTGCAAATGCAATAAATTTGCAGTATAAATTAGACATTTCTCTCATGCTCAAAATTTCCTGTTCCCACCAAAATTCTTATTACTTGAACATTGCTATGCTTCTAGCACCAGTGAACATGGAAAGAGACAAGTTATTTAATTTTAATGGAATAGTTCATAAAGGAACTGCTCTTTAAAGCCTATTCTGCTGGCTCAGAAGGCAGGTTTCTCCCAGTACCCTGTCTAATGTCAATGTCTCGCCACTTCAGAAGAGGGGATGGTAACGAAAAAAATTGAAACTTTTTTTTTAACTGTTGAAATGACTACCCAAATTGGCAAGCTAAGCTTAGAGTACCCCAGGGCAGTTCTCATCTTAGAGCATTTGTTTGGAAATAAATTGTAGTTTTAGACTGAAGTCCTAAACATGCAGAGGTAAAATACTTGGAGAAAGTTGCTGGTGGCAATTCAGCATCTCAGCAGAATTCCATTGCATTTCCCAGCGTTCACTTGCCACATGCATGCATTTCTGGAGAAGGTAATGCAGTGCTGCATCAGAACACTAAAGCTGGGGCCACACTAGTCCTTGTGGAAACTCTCATCCCAAACCATCAGTGAAGCCAAGGGTTGAGTTTGCCCTCCTATTTCCAAAAAGACATGCCTGCCAAGGACAGTGTGGCCTAAGAGGCACACATTGCTGGCAGGCTCTCAAGTGTCAAAATAGAACCAGCGCTGCCAGCTGCACAGATCCTGTGCTTCGCAGGCAACACACAGACAAGGAAAACATCGAGTTGTTGGGTGAAAAAAGCAGCTTCCCAGGATTGCTCTGACCATGGTGTGATTGTGATCAAGCCACACTGGCAAGTATTGTCTTCCCACGTGTGTTTTGCCTCCCGCAGGCTGCCTGTAGAGAGCAGCTCGGGCAGGCTGATGCATGCTTGTTATTGCCGGTGTAAATATCTCTGTCTTGTGCTATTGTGGCACAAAGCAGCTGGACCATTTGAAAATCATTTAAAAAGCACTATAAAATTAGGGCTCCAGTGCTCTTATTTTATGGCTTTCACGAGCAGCCATTGCCTAGAGAGAAATTATCCTCTTTATTTTCAAGGCTAAAGGTTCTTTTAACATTCATCAAAATCAAAGTGCACCCTTGGTAACACGTTGAGCTGTTACTTATTTAGTACAGACTCTTTACTTTCTGCATAATATCACATTTGAGATCTCAGTTCTTCATATACAACTAATTTCTTTGTGTCTGCTGTTGTTTTCACCAAGTGGATTTGCATAGTTTCAAGAGAGGCTGGATGATGCCCTGAAACATATTCTTTCCATAATTCCTTTTTTTATTTTTTTTAAATGGTTAGAACAACAGCCTGGAGTGTTTTTGTTTCTGATCCTTCTATAAAAATGGCCAATTATCTCTTAAGCAATAGATTTGCACAGACCAATTAAGCACTGTAAGTGAAAGATTTTCAAGGGCAGAAATAATACTTAGGTGCATAACCTGATAGAATCACCTTGAAACATCTCTTCCCTATGTATATAAAAAACCTGGTTTTGATAAGTTTCTTTTTTTCCATTCTTGTTTTCACAGACAGTTTCTTTACTAAACTGGAAAACGGTGAGTGAACCAAAGGAGCATAAAAAAATGCAAACAGTACAAAGGGAAAACCATTATTAAAAAAAAAAAAAAAGAAGCACAGCTGTATCAATCAACCATACTTACAGCTCAGATCTGAAGGGCTTAGGAAGAGACACTGCATGAAAGCATCCATCAGCCACAAAGGTGGTAAGTGGGGAATGGTAAGGCCCTGCACATGCTCTGTTCTGCAGCTCAAGAAAACCACTGTGTGCCCCTCTGTTGTTTAACCTGCCTGATGTTTCTGTAAGAGACTGGTCACCTTATTATCCAGACATCAAATACAGACTGAAGATAAACATTTACAAAGTCATAACCTTAGCTCTGTTCTCATGGTTCCCTCTTTGGCTAGGATTTTGTCTTTATGTTCTCTGGGGACAGCAGGCTCATTCCTGTGCCAAAAGGCAGCACTCTTTCAGATCCCAGGAAGGGGGGTGGTTGGTGCTGATAGATCCTGCTGTGAAAGCATGAGTAGCCACATAGAGCAGCTGTAAAGTCAATATGCATCATCCTGCCTGGAGGAGATGTAACCAGGCAAAAGGCAAGGCTGTCTGTGTGCAAGGGGAGCTCTGTCACCATACCAGTGCCTTTGAGAGCAGGTGGAGTTTGAGTTTTTAATGACAGAGATTTTGCCTGTCGTCGCCCAGTCTGTGATCCATCAAGGGAATGGTTAAGCTAATAGAGGGATGAGATAAAGTTACTTGGTAATCACTATTGTTTATGACCCTAGAAAGGTAGAAAATGGGACAGGCATGAAAGACTTCTTCATGGAAGAGGGAGGTGGGACAGACATTAAGTAAGTCAAGATAAGAAAAGCACCTCGGCTCTGTAACACATTTTTCTGTTCCAACAGTCGCAACCACTTTCCTGTGCCTGACAGTCTCAGAAATAGGGAGAAGGATCCAATTAAGCTCACATAGCTATGGGCCCCTGTATTTCAGATCAAATTGGGTATTTTGGGTTAAGACTGCCCAATCCAATCTCAGCCCTTACTTGTGGCAGTCCTGAAAAGTGGCAGGAGAAGAGGAGAGGTCAGTATAGCCCTCTCAAGACCTGATCCAGCACTGTGAGTGAGATTATGCCAGCTGTGCAGGGGATTCCTCCCTTTGGAGCTGATTTGCACATTTGTTATCTCTCAGGCATATACACCTTGATGAACAAAACAAAAATTAAAAACTCAGCTAGAGTTTTTATCCAGTAGAATAGAATAGAATAGAAAATCCCTTAACCCAGTAGAATAGAAATAGAAAATCCCTTCTTGCCAGTGGTTTCAAATTCCTGGACAGCCTTTGCTTTGTAGATAAACTACCTGTAATGAATGGTTTCTCAGTATTGTTTTCTCTATAAAAGATAGCAAATTGACACTTGCAGTCAACACTTTAGTGCTGAAAGGGGAGGATTTTCTTTTCAAGAACCAAAGGTGAGCAGGTGTCTAGAGAGTGTTGTTTTCTCCATACACACATATCTACTAACACCTCAATCTGTAAAGGATTGCTCACCTCACATCCAGAGCAGGATTAAGCATACTCTGGAGCTGTTTTGACCTAGATAGTCAGTTGCTGAAAACCTGGCAAAAGGACCAAGGTTGTAGGATGTCCTGCATGAGCTAAATTCAAAGTAATTTTGTGTTCAGTTTAAACTATTAATTTCAAGGAAGGTTTAATCTACCTTTAAATAGCAGGTGGGACCTCACAACTCAGAGGTGGGCATCCAAAGGGCAAAGGAAGGCTCCTGGATGCTGGCAGTGTTCTTGTGGTGTTGCCAGCAGCTGCAGACTTTCCATCACTTGTTTTCCTCACAAAATGAAGCTGCTAACTGCAGAAGCAAGCTGGGACCAAAGTAATTTTATGAAAAGAATCAGTACAAGGAAGAATATCTTAAAAATCCAAGCTGAAAATTCCAGATCAGAATCTGGAAAGGTGTGAAGACATTAGGATCTGTTTTAGCATCATGTCATGGGATAAGGGTGTTTCTGTTCAGGTGATGGGCACCCATATCACCAGTTCTTTTCCCTCATCATCACAAGAGCTGAAAGCTGCTTTAAGCATTTTGCTTTTGCTCCTTCACTCTTGATGACTTGTCATTCTCCATGTTATCACTGTGAAATGAACCTTGGGTCATAGTAAAAAGTATATTGCCAGCCTGGGAGGAGATTCTGGTTGTCTGGTGCCCATGTTATAGAATTCAATATTTAGTTTTGAGTAGTGTGGACACAGCATTCATAAGACAGGTGGGAAAAGAGTCAATGCAGGTTAGACCTGAAGGCTGGCTAGTTATTTATTCTCCATCAGGCCAGAGCAGAGTCTAGAGGAAGCCAGCATAAGAAACAGGACAGCTGTGTATCCTCCAGGTTTTGGCTTTAAGCAGATTGGCTAGTTCTTAAACCTCTTGATACTTTTAATTACTACAGACTCAACAGAAGAACTGGTCCTAGCACAAAAGTCCCCAATTACCCTCATGCTCCCAACAAGCACCTTGCCTCCATCAGTTCCAGGGAGGGGTGAAAGCTGTGGGGGAAAAAAAGAGAAGGAGGAGTGAAGGCTGGGTGAGAAAGAAAGGTGAATGGATAGCTGAGGAGCAGGCTGGAGGGGTGAGGAG